GAAATGTACTTACAACAGCACAAAGTAAGGACGTGCTGTGATCCCAGTACATGCAGTGTGTAGAGGTAAACAAAATTCATCAGGAAAAACTATAAATAGATAAGCATTTTCTTAATGAAGATTCCTGATGTGTTTCCCTAGCCTGAATGTAATCTAAATTATCTCCTGGTCAAACCTGATTACTTAACAATATGACACTTCACTTTCACAAGAATAAGCAAACTTCAGGAAAAAAACAACAACAACTTGCTAACAAATATTGAGATTTCCTTCTCACCTCTGAAGCATCACCTGTTGTCAGCACAATATAGTACTGGGCTGTGATGCAGCAAGAATTTTTGAAATAACATGGATAGATTTCTCTACTCAACTTCCACTTATTATTCCCCATATCTGATATCTGATATTTAAGATAAAGACTTTGCAGGCTTCTCCACTATAGTGCATGCTTTGAAAAGGGGAAACACGTTGACTTAGCTTTCTTTTCTCTGCACTTCCCAATTTTAAAAACCTCCAAGCTATCAAAAATCCTGCCCTTTGTCACTTGGACACTGAACACACTTTCCCTATTTGTTCTGTTGAAACTTTTAATTGAAAAAAAAATCTGTTGGGTCCAAGGTTCTGAGCAAGAAACATCATCTGTCCCAGATCTGTAAGTAAAGGATATAGGATTGAAAACTGCAGAGTATCTGGGGAGCTGAGATTTTTCTTTTTGAGTAGCTGCACCTAACGGTTCCTAAACAGCCGCTATTAAAAGGGAGAAAACCACAACAGAAAAATGGCCTTAGCTATGCTGTATCTAACAGCAGTGTCGTGGTCCCTTTCTCTCCCCATAGGTTAAGATAGAAATATCGATACGTAAACCTTCAAGCAAATAGAACTTGAGAAACCTCTAGAATCTTAAACTGTACTATTTCTCTGCCATACAAAGGGCTGTAAACAACTCTCAATGCCTAAAATATGAAAAATTTTCTTTAATATTCAAATTCATAGCAATAGTAAACCCAGTGTAAATAATCTAAGGTAGAAGAGAATACATTGTCTGCTGTCCCTCACAGTCATAAGTAATATGTGGTCTGAAGAGCTACAGCGTACAATTTTTGTATGAAGATGCAGAAGCCCTTTGTTGCCAAGGAAAGAAGTCAACTTTAACCAATTTGGTCCAAAACTGTAACAGTAAGTTACATTTTTATCACATTAGTCTGAGAAGATATAATGTGCTGTTGGACACTTCATGGAAGTTACAGAAAACTCTTAATAGCACTCTAGGCAAAGCTGTGCCTTTAAGCAAAACGCTTGCATTTTCCACATTTACCAGTTGACACCCACCTGACTCAATCTGCAGAATTAAAAAATGCAGCAATTTTTCCATTTCCCTAAACTAATGAATTTTAAACTAATTTTGACATAAATTCAGCCAGTACTCAGATTTATTGGTAGATTTATTTTTAATGGTTGTTTTCAGTTCACAAGTGATTACCATGGAGTATGTAGTTTTGTCTCCACCTGCTCTGAAATGTACACAGTACTCATATTCATGTACATAGAATCACTCAGGTTGGAAAAGTCCTTAAAGATCATTGAGTCCAACCACCAGCTAACCATACTACCCTAACTCTAACAACCCTTTGCTGAGCACCACATCCAAACACATCCAGGAGTTTTTTAAAAACCAGGAGGTTTTTAAACACATCCAGGGGATGGTGACTGAACCACCTCCCTGGGGAGCCTGTTCCAATGCTTAACAACCCTCTCCGTAAAGAAGTGTTTCCTGATACCCAACCTAAACCTCCCCTGGTGCAGCTTGAGGCCATTTCCCCTCATCCTGTCACTAGTGAGAAGGGACCAACCCTGTTCTCGCTGTAAGCACCTTTCAGATACTGGAAGAGAGCAATAAGTTCTCCCCTCAGCCTCCTTCTCCCCAGACTGAACATCGCCAGTTTCTTCAGTCTCTCCTCATAGGGCACATTCTCCAAGCCTTTCACAAGCCTTATTGTTCTTCTTTGGACCTGCTCCAGCACCTCAATGTCTTTTCTGCATTGAGGTGCCCAAGACTGAACACAGTACTCGAGGTGAGGCCTCATCAAGGCTGAATACAAGGGCAGGATGACTTCCCTAGTCATGCCCACCACACCATTCCTGATACAAGCCAGGATACCACTGGTCTTCCTGGGCCACATGCTTTCTTTGCTAGGGGTTACTGCATTTTCTGCACAAATGTATGGCTTCTTATTTTTGTGAACTTCTTCCCTGTTACAATTACACACACATCATGTAGTTTTGCTAATACCACTGTCCTCATCTGCCACAAGGACAAGCTTAGGACATCAAGATCAGCAAGCTTTACATATCAAGGCTCAGGGAACAGCCCTGGTTGTATAGCATAGCTGGCAGGCAGAGGATCTGTCCCCGCTGCTGAGCAGGCAGTGCAGTAACTCGCCAGCTGGTGAGGCCCCAGCTTATCTATGACCCTTACAGCCCCAACATCCCCACAAGGGACAAGGAGTCTGCCTACCTTGAGGTAATCTGCAAGATGGCTACATGGGGAAGGGGAGTGCCTGACTGCAGCTGTTCCTTTGTAGAACTCTAGTGAGTTGCAAATTTTGCCAAAACAGCTTCTGTACTAGATTTACCAGGAAACAAGACAAGGGCAATGAAAAAAGTAACAAGACAATATATATTTCAACAACATGATAAAAGAAAATACCTGAACCAGTACTGCTGTGCTTCAGCCCAGGTTTCTGATAGTTGATTTTACCAACTCTGTTCTCCCACATGCAAGCCCTTCATAACAGAGAAACTAAGCAAATTACCATGTAACATTTTCCATTTTTCAGGATAAAGAGCTCTGTAGAAAGGGGTCCTGACTGCCTTCTCCCCACATCAGCCTGCTGTCTACCTGCAGGTTGACATACCTGAGGGATAGCACACAATTCAGTGACCTAGGCAGGCTTGAGCAGAAGGTCCAGGTGAACCTTAGGTTCAGCAAATCCAAGAGCAAGGTCTCCAACCTGGGTTCTGACAACTCTCACTATCAGTACAAGCTGGGGGATGTAAGAATGGAGTACAGTGCTGCCAAGAAAGACTTGAGGGTACTGGGAGATGGAAGCTGGATGTGAGGCAGCAACATGCCTTCAAAGCTCACTACGTCCTGGGCCAGAGGGTCCAGGAAGATGATCCTGTCCTTCTACTCTGTGCTGGTGTAATCTCACCTGGAGGTACTGCATCCAGATGTACAGGAGAGATGCAAACCTGTTAAGAGCACATCCTGAAGAGGGCCACAAGAACAACCCAAGGGATGGAACACCTTCCCTCAGAGGACAGGTTGAGAGAGCTGCAGCTGTTCAGCCTGGAGAAAAGAAAGCTCCGGGGAGACCTGACTGCAGCCTGTCAGTATCTGAAGGGGGCTATAAGAAAGAAGGGGACAGACTCTTTAGCATGATCTGTTAGAACAGGACAAGGAGAAGTTGTTTCAAAATAAAAAGAGGGAAAATTCTGATTGGATTTTTTTTTTTTTTTTTTTTATTTTAAACACAATAAGGGTGGTGAGGCAGTGGAAGAGGTTGCCCAGAGAGGTGGTGAAAATCCCATCTCTGGAAATACTCAAGGTCAGACTGGATGGGGCCAGATCAAGTGTAGGTGTCCTTGTTTGTTGCAGTGGAGTAGGACCAGATAACCTTTAGGAGTCTCTTCCAACACAAACATTGTATGACTCAATGAAATACCAAGTTAATATTACCTGCCACACTTCTGAATGTAGTTCACGTAATCCAGCTTCACTTCTGCTAGGGTTGCATGGAAATGTTAGTGAAATAATCACTTCTTTCAAACAACCTTTGGCATTACAACAATACTTACACAGATGTAATTCAAATAGCTTTAAGAGTTTGTCTGTCCTCTTTACAAAACTGGGCTCAGAACAGAGTACTCATCCCTACCAGGATAGTTCCTGCATACAGAATCACAGAATGGCCAGGGTTGGAAGGGACCTCGAGGATCACAAATCTCCAACCCCCCTGCCACATACAGGGCCACCAACCTCCCCACTTAATACTAGGCCAGGCTGCCCAGGGCCCCATCCAGTCTGGTCTTGAACAATTCCAGGGACAGGGCATCCACAGCCTCTCTGGGCAGCCTGTTCCAGTACCTCACCACTCTCATAGCTAAGAGCTTCCCAACATCTAACCTAAATCTTCCCTCCCTTAACTTCAAATCACTTCCCCTCATCCTGCTGTTACCTACCCTTTCGAAGAGTTGACTCCCCTCCTGTTGTAGGCTCCCTTTAGGTACTGAAAGGCTGCAATGAGGTCACCCCGCAGCCTTCTTTTCTCCAGGCTGAACAAGCCCAGCTCCTTCAGCCTGTCCTCATAGGGGAGGTGCTCCAGTCCCCTGATCATCTTGGTGGCCCTCCTCTGGACCCTCTCCAACAGCTCCCTGTCTTTCTTGTACTGGGGGCTCCACACTTGGATGCAGTACTCCAGATAGGGCCTCCCAAGAGCAGAGTAGAGGGGAACAATCACCTCCCTGTCCCTGCCGGCCACCCCTTCTGATGGAGCTCAGGATACCATTTGCTTTCCAAGCCACAGGGGCACACTGCTGGCTCATGTTAAGCTTTTCATCTATCAAGACGCCCAGGTCCTTCTCCGTAGGGCTGCTCTCAAGGACCTCTCCTTCCAGTCTGTAGGGATGCCTGTGATTCCTCCGGCCCAAGTGCAAAACTCTGCACTTTGCCGTGTTGAACCTCATCAGGTTCACCCAGGCCCTCCTTTCTAGCCTCTCGAGGTCCCTCTGAATGCTATCCTTTCCTTCCACCATTCAACCACACCACTCAGCTTGGTGTCATCAGCAAACTTGCTGAGGGTGCACTTGATTCCCTCACTGATGTCATTGATAAAGATGTTAAAGAGCACCAGTCCCAAAACATTGCTCTGTCAAATCCTAGGTAATCCTACAACATTTATCAAATGCTTTAAATGATGCAAATGATTGCTCATAGTAAATAGTGCTGACCAAACAACTACATACATATTAAAGTATGGAAAATAATCCTTACAGCAAAATCAGCATACTGTCCTTTCCTTGATGCTTGATCAAGAATTAGTGTAGTCCATGCACATAATGAAGTGATGGCTTTTGTCAAAAAGTTGCCACTAATTACCTTTCTATTTCTGGTGTTAGAAAAGATTAATTGTCGTCCACATTATTTTCAATGCAGTCCTGAAGTCAGTAGCTAAGTAGGGAGAGCATTACTTTTATTGCCAAAGAATATTTGAACCATCATTCCCATTTCTAACTGTTAATCTGAGTATTCTTCAGCAAAACACAGTCTGTCCACAGCTTCTAGTGATTAATCCAACTTCCAGCAGATATGACATCCACGGTTAGCACCACACCATAGAAGCTGCAGCTCCAGTGTGAGAGGCTCAGTAGTACAGTGGTCAGGAGATCCATCTTCTTCCAAGGTATGCAATTTTCTTGATGACTGGAATAGTTTTCATTATGGCCAAATACACACAAGCACTATAAACACCAGTGAACATGTTAAGACCACAAAATCTGAGGTAAATACATTCTAGACTCAGAGGTATTAAACCACCTGTCAACCATCTCAGAAGCAGACGAACCTCTAGGGAGACTCGTTACTCACCCATACACAGCACTGTTAAGAACTACCCCAGATTGCCCTACCAGATCTTGAATTAAGTAGTCCACAAACTCAAGTTGTTTGCTGGTCTTCCTTGGGCCTCAGTAGCCTGGTCTCAGCTGAGGAGATTTGGTAACTGATCACATAATAAATTCTGTTTTGCTAGTAGCCTTTTAAATGCACTTGCAAGGGGAAAAAATACAGGTTAAACATTTTCTAAGCTCAGAGAATCAGTAGTAAAGCTAAGATCAGAGCCATTTTTTCACAACTTTAATCCCTCCCCTCAGTTTTCTTTTCTTATGGCAGTAAAGGTTGCTAAAATTCACAGCCAAAGGACTTGAAAGATTTCTGGAAGAATATTTAATCCACAAAGCTTCATCTTACACTATTAAAAAAGAACATGTTTAGAAAACTGATATCCAACTGTAGTCTGTTTTTCTTATTTTTCGTAGTTCTTTTTCCTCAGATTTAGACAGTTTGTGTGTTGTCTCTCCTAATGATTCTGTAGGCATTATATCTTCTTGTTTCATTTCAGTAACAGTGTTTTCCTCATCCGAATCATCCTCTGCTCCTTCGCTTTCCATTTCTACTTCAGCAGGAGCTTCTTCCACACTGTATAAGGATATGATTGGCAACAAACAACGATGTTAATGGATAGTTGTGATACTATAGACTAATTTATTACAAAAATAACTTCAAGTAGCACTGGAATTTTTGTTTTTAAATCTAAGACTTCTGAGAAACTAATGCACTTCTCTTGCCATCTTAATTACAAGCCATTTTTCCAATAGCTACCTTTTGCATTAATTTAACAAGTGTACATTTTCTTTCTCTAAATCCAATACAAACCTCAGAACGTGCAGATTAGTATTACATAAATTGTTATCACTTCACACCCCCGTAGGATTAAGAACAGAATAAATCAGCAGATGAGACAAAAAAGAAGGCCAGACTTGGCATACTCAAAAGAATTAGACAAAACTTACCATTTGCAGTGTGCCTTATTTTAGATACCATTAAAAATGTTCTACATGGCAGAAGATTACTCCTAAGTATCATCTGTTCTAATAAAGACTCATTTACCATGTGTAAAATCTAAACTGAAGGTACACGTTTAATACATTATAATTATACTTAAATGGAAAAGAGAAACATTGATCAGGAAATTATTCTACATAGCTATCTACAGTTGCCCTCCAACTGTAAGATAAGACTTACTTAAGAACTCCAGTTCTTAGACTCACATGCAACTTTAAATGCACTGGTGATACTAATCACCAGTGTCAAAGTACAAGCCCTACAGCAAATATTTACACAGGCCACTGAACTCCTAAATTCTTCAATCCTGAAACTGCATGCAAATTTCTACATGATCTTTGTATGCGATTTTTACCACTTTTGTTGTTATCAGAGAAGTTTTACTTGGGTAATCTTGTAAGAAAGCTAGCAATACCAGTTAACACATCACAGCAGAACTGATCACACTGCAGTGGTAGCAGAATACAGTGTACATGTAAAACGTACTCAAACCAACATTTCTTCTGATTATGTCAACCATCCTTTCATCGGTCTTTGCAAGTTTCAGATGGCAGCTGATACCAGTGACATATTTTCATCTGCAGCTTGGTAGAGGATTATGAAATGCTTTAAAGAATAGATCATACAAGCAAATAACAAAACCATCTGGTTGCATTCAATCTAAGTGTCAAGATATTAAGGTAGCCTTATATTAGGATTATTAACCTTTGTGTTTGCATCCATTTGCTAGAACTTTATGTTGATCTCAAAGGAGCAGGCATCCACACATTTTAAGTACTTATCAGATCACTGCATTAAACTGGAATCAAAGCACTGTCAGACAAGCTTGCCTGTTTTCACAATCTTACTTCGTAGTTTAATTAGGAATGAAATTTGAATTCTAAACCAACTGTTAAGTGTAGACCTTAAGCTTAGGACTAGCATAAATAACATCTTCATTACAACACAGTCAGCAGAAATGAATAAATGCTTGGCAAATTTGCAGTCAGCACTTAGTTGAGTGAGGTTGACATCCTGGAGCAAAAAGAAGCCATCCAGAGGGATCTCAACCAACCTGTAAGCTGAGCCCACGCAAACCTCATGCAGTTCAGCAAGGCCAAGTGCATGGTGCTGTACCTGACTTGGAACAAACCCAGACGTGAGTACAGCCTGAGCAAAGAATGCATAAAAAGCAGCACTCTAGAAGAGGACTTGGAGGCATCAGTGAATGAAAAACTAAATGTGAGATGAGCATGTGCACTTGCAGCCTGGAAGGCCAACTGTATCCTGGGCTGCATCAAAAGATAACAGACCAGCAGGGAGAAAGGTAAATGTCTCCTACTCTGTTCTCAGGAGACTCCACCTGGAGTACTGCACCTGAGTCTGGGCACCCCAGCATGACAAGGGCATGTCAGAATGAATCCGGAGGAAGCCATGAAGATGATCAGAGGGCTGGAGAACCTCTCTTATGGAGAAAGGTTGAAGGAGCTGGGATATTTCAGACAGGAGAACAGAAGGCTTTGGGGATACCTTGTTGCAGTCTTCCAGTACTTGAGGGGAGCTTATAAACAGGAGGGAGAATAAGTTTTTCCACAATCCGTTTTAAACTAAAAGAGGGGAGATTTAGATTAGTTGCCAGGAGGCAATTCTTCTCTCAGAAGGTGGTGAGGCACTAGCACAGACTGCCCAAAGAAGATGTTGATGCCCCATCCCTGTAAGTGTACAAGACCAGGTCGGATGGGGCCATGGGCAGCCTGACCTGGTGAGTGGCAGCCCTGACCATGGCAGCAGGGTTTAACTTGATGATTTTAAGGTTCCTTTCACCTCAAGCCATTCTAGCCTTCTACAATCCTTACCTGGAAATAAAATTAAATTTATGAAGAGCTTTTGAGTATCAAAGTACACGTTTTGCTTAAAAGTACATTATGCTAAATGGCAGGATAACTAAGAACAGAAAGGAAAAGGCCAATATGTTAGGCAGCTGGTCTTGCATATCTGAATTTTTTTTGCTATTAATATGTTGCCTCTATGAAGTGTTCTACTTGCCTATATTAACAATAATGAAGCATGCTAGAAAACTAGTCTTAGGCTTTAAATAAAGATGTCTTTCATCTCAAATAACATGGAAGAGTTCTTCCAATTTCTCTTACCTTTTATTCTCTTTGGAGACAAGCAATGAATTAATAAATATGGGACACAGGAAGGAAGCAGATGGCAAAACATGTGCTGGAGTGTGCAGGAGCTGAAGAGAAAATAAGAGGCTTGATTAAAGTTTTTGCTTGCCATGATTTTGCTTATATTTTTACTGTAACAACTCCTACCTCTTTGACAGCAGGGGAATCTTGCTCACGGTGATGGCGAACAATTTTTCCAAGGTCTACATCCTCCTGTGATTGTTGCTGTCTGTGCTTTCCCAACAGCAAGCTAAATGGGGTCACAGGAAGACTTTCTTCTACTGCCAGCTTGAATAAAAAAAGCATCTTGTAATTAAGAAAGGGCAAAGTTTTAACTAGAACTTAGTAACACAGATTTAAGTTCCGTCTCACTTTCTATTACCAAATTCAAGTAGCGTTTAGAGTCAACCCAAGTGACAGAGTTCCATGCTCAGGTTTAACTCAGCTGAGCTATACGACAACTCTTTGTACTCATTCTCTCCCAGGCATCCTTTCCAACAAATTCCTCACAGAGCTAATAGAACTCTCTAGAATCTGAATTTTTGCTCTTCTAGAAGAATGAACACCAGATGTTAGTTCACTGATACCCCAACTAACTTCCAAAACCAGAAGCCGGCACGCGTGCCAGAAAAAATGAAATATGGCTTTCGCATTCCATTTCTGAATGATAGATTTACACCCCAGTATCTGCTGAATGAGCTAATTGTCTATCTTGAGGTAGAACATCGTAACTTCCCTTCTGCTATTTTTCTAGATCAGCAACCCTCAAAGAAACTGCTTATAACCACATTCCAATTGAATTTTATCTAAGAAAGATAGAAGCTTCTATTTTCATCTACTTGACCTAACCAACCACTCAATCAAGTGCCACTGTCTTATTCATCTCACAAGGCATGAAGCAATGTGAATTTGTAAGACTGAATTTCCCACACTACCTCTCCATGTAAGTACATAATGAAATTTTACAGCTTTTTCCTACTGATAAAACAAAATGGACTGACAACATTTCCACCATCAGTACAAAATTGCAAACGCGCCATATTCTAGATTCCAAGCATTAGAGACCAAAATGCTTTAGATCAGGGAAATGAGAAAGCGAGGGTGTAGCTTACTAATACTTCATTTGTTAAGGTTTTGTGAACAGTAATTCTGCCGAAATTAAGGAAGTGCTGCCTCTTCAGATAATTGCCTATGGCTTCATGCCAGGATGTGATATGTCTTTCCATGATGAAAGGCAATTTGAATCTGACAATTAAACACTAAGAGAATTCAGACCTGCTCCACCTACCACTAAAAGAACTTTCTCAAAAGTTACCTGTTTGCTTGACAGTGTAAGTCTTTCTTCCAGAGATTTTGTGCTAACTGTCATTAGCTCCTAAAATGAAGAAGGATGTAGCAGAATTAAAATACATGAAACTACTTTCTGTATTTCAGTACCTTGTCTATAGATGTTTGGCCCAAAAGCTTTTGTTGGTCAAGCAGAAGCAGCAAGTGTCTTTATTTTAGAAAGAACCCAAAGGAAGCATGAATGGATCTAAAGGCTCTAGATGGCCTTTCTGGGTGGAATAGAAAGCAAACAAACAGCTATCACCCAAATAAAACATAACATTGATTATTGTATGAATCATTTGCATAACTAGCAATACTACAGCTTCTACACATTTAAGTTGAACAGCATAATGCTATAATGGGTTAATAATAGCAGGGTGGCAAAGTCTCTGGCTACAGAGAATGAGAACAAGCCCAAATGCAGCACCACAGATTCAGAAATGAAATAAAAGAGCTGCTTACCTTTCTAAAAGGCCTCAGGTGAGCAGGGATCTCCAGCAAAAGATGCCCTTACCTCCACTGCCAGTCCTTAAATGAGGTCTGGGAAGGGGTGGATCCTGGCTCCTCCCTCCTAGCCACTCAGGTGTATTGCTTACACCTGATCTCCCCTGGATTGGCCCTGCCTTCCCACCAGACACTCAATCACTGTTTCAGCCCATAACTTAGCATTTCCACTACAAAAATCATAGGCAGCATTCCCACGTTACTTAGTTTTCTGCATGCAAAAAGCAATGGGAACTCTGACTAGCAGAAAACCAGCAAGTAATCAATGTTGAAGTTAAGCTATTTTAGCACTGAAAAGCTTTTACTGAAGAATTAAGTATAGCTTTTTCTTCCATAAAAGTAAATTCTTACACTTGGCAGCAGTTGTGTACCTATCCATATTTAGGATATTTACCCCCCAGGAACCACCTTCCCCGCCAGTGACTATTTCTTACTTGTGTATCCGTAAGAAAAAACAGTTGGGATCTTCTTAGCCAAAGGTATTTTTCTGATCCAATTGTTTCAGGTACATCTCTTGGAACAAAGGCAGCAAACTGGATCCTTTCCTTACAAAATTTTCTCTGGATACAGATTGGCCGTGGCTCATTTGGCTTAAATACAAACACTGCAAATACAAGAACATCTTCCCTTTAAGTCATGGCATTCTTACCCTTCTGGATAGCTGCCAAAGCACTATGCATCAAAGCCAGAAAGCGCTGAACAGGACTGCCTTTAAACAGGAATTATACTCAGATATGTTTAATACATAATTTATGGTACTTGTATAATCAATGAATATACAGGTGTCATAATTAAGAAATACACAAGAGAGTTTGGCTATACAGGTTATTACACTGAAAAAGAATAGAGGGCCTTGTCCTGGGCTCACTGGAAAACTCCAAAAAGAGCAATCTCCAGAAAGAGATCCTTTCCCACTGCTAGTCAGCTCTTAAATAGGGTCTAGGAGAAGTGGAGCCAGGCTCTACCCCTTCCGATAGCACAAGTGAATTGCCTTCACCTGTGCTCCCAGGGCTGACTCACTGCTCGCCTCAGGTGATCAGAGGTTCAGGCCATGATTCAGCAGGTCCCATACAGTACTTTTCACAGTATTCCAATAACAAGAATACACTTGGAAATTAAGTTTTCTGTATAACAGTAGATCTGGAAAGATTAATCTTCACTTACATCAGAAATCTAATACATAGCTCTATAGTTCAACCACAATTTTGTACTTAGAGGTCAGAGTTGAGACCACATGACCCTCATCCAGAGGACAGTTAATCTTATGCTATATTCTATGCTGGAGACAAACTATTGAAAAAAAAGATGGAGAGCGTGTTGTTTAAATACTGGAATTTATCTGTATTTAATTACTGCTGCAAAACATAGCTCAGTTTTCCCTGGATCAAACACAGACTCAGGTCCTTCTAATGGCTTTAATGGAGCTGAATTCTAAGAAAACCTTTTATATAAATTATGCTTTCCCAGTTTTAAGTTCCACTGACTACTACTTGTCAAAAAAGCCTTTGTACTCACAGCTGGACTCTTTAAAGAGCCAGGAGAAAGCAGCAATATATTCTGAAAGGGGATCAGGTTGCAGAACTACGACGTTGAGGTGAGCACTCCATTCCACTGAAAAGCAAACACAGCAATAGCTAGATGTGAAAAAATTCTATTCAGGTGCTTTGCCAAATAAAACTTCAAATGGAAAAGACCAAGAAGGCTTAACCTCTGCAAGAGGCATGCAACTTCAGTTATTCTCAGATTAATAAAAACACACAAACATTATTAACTATCTGTAAAAATGAAGGAAATACTAGCTGTTATTGTGTTGTCCACCATCTAAAATAGAATTTACTATGCATATGCATGCTATAAGCACATGCATACTGGGCGAGATATTATCTATACTCAGGTACATTATACTCAGGACATTACAACTCCACACACCATTTTATAGTGGGTCCATCTAGAATCAAACTAGAATTATTTTAAGGTATCGTAGTATAATCAAAGGTTAAACATTATTACTTTCACTCTAGCATGCGTTTAAACTGATCTTACATGCACAACTGAGCAGATTCCAGCAACAGAGAAAACCATGATCAGTGGCACCTATCAGGTATTTGGAACATGTTAGTCTCCCAAAGCAGATGGTCCTACAGAAGTAAAAAGTCAAAACAAGTTCATTACCTTCAACTTCTGTTTCTGTATACAGTTTTGATTCACAAGTCACAAAAACATTCATTAAAGATTTAGTTCTGATATTTAATCAGGACAGTTTTGCATTTTGCTTTCACTTCTAGTAGTAAGGAACTTTTACACACAACTACCAAACATAGATCTGGGAGATTTCAAGTATGCATGAATCTGTAAGGAGTACAGAGAATTTCTAACTGTTCATAAAACATTCTGACTTCAAGCAACAATTTTAAGCTCATAAATTAGTAACAAATCTTTAATAACTACAAAGTGTTAACACCAGGGTTGGGGGAAAAAACCCTCTAGAATGTCTAGCATTGTGCTAAACACTAGAAGAAGGGAAGTGGAAGTAGAAATAAAAATCAGTTACATTCTCACAGGTTGCTCTGACTGAAGAAAACGCGTGATTTGTTTTCGATCACATGAATTTCTTGTTCTTGTTTCAGAATCAAATAACAGATTTATAATGCTACATGAGAATGCTTTCAAAAAGGCAATTAAAGAAGTTTTCTTAATTAAAGCATAGCCATTTGAACATACATAACAGTCATTTAATTGAGTACATAGAATACCTTATTTCATTTTAATATCGCATATAGCGAAGGCTTCAAAAGGAAAAACTCCTAAGGCAAAAACTTGCCACTGTTCCAAGCTGTCAAGAGACATTTCCCTCAGATACAATGGAGAGCTAACACTCTCATGGCTTTCCTGCAGACCGATTTTAGAATCATACTTCTCAATTTCTACTCCTGGAGAACCAGTGTGAATGAAACAGATGTGTTTCAAAATATAAAACAAATCTCTTTTGTGATTCTTCATTTCAGAGTCTTTAAAACACAACAAACGTGCAATGTTTGGCTTTTCATTTTAGATGTTCTCTAAACATGAATATATTTACAACCTTTCACATTAGTCCAGCAACAGTGTTGAGAAGCAGCTAGACAACAACTGAAAGAGAATGCTACCATTCAGTTGTAGCATCTTCCTCATTCAGAATTCGTTTAGATACAGAGATCTGGCACAGAGCTTAACTAGATGAAGCAGCAAGGCCACCTACTGGCCTATTTTTCTAAGACAACTGCTAAAATAGATACTTCACGTGGATCACAAGCCACTGCAATATTTGCACAGTCCTAGAAAGCTTATATAGAGGTCCTATTCTTTGAGTCACTACTTTTTTTCCTCACCACAGATCAATGCCATTCCTCATTATCTCTGTACAACTAAATGGTCTCTAGACCTTCTGGATATCTTTTCTTGTTGTAGTACCCAACAGAATGTGCTGGGATGGTCTGCCAGGCAAACACAGACTTTTCAGCAAAGGCTAGCAACAGTTAATACACATGCCTTGTAATGCAGACAATAATGTCAGTATAGCTTTACAGTTTACTGACAGAACTCCTATTTGAACTCAAGAATAAAACACTAACAAGAGTATAAATCTAACTTAGATTTTTATTCTTTCAGTGCTTGGATTCATCTCTAGATTAATGGGGAACTTTTAATATGCTTTTCTATATGTGAACTTAGACTATTAAGTCAATGCTTGTATGAACATATTCAATCTTAAAATACTATAAATTTTTTCTTTCTGTTCTGTGAAGTTCAAATAAGAACGAATAAGCCAGATGAAAAACATACCTTATTTTTCCAGGTGGGTGGCAAAATGTACACTTCAGATCCCAAGTACTAGAATCCCATACAGTGACAGTTTCTTCAAAGCTAACAGCAAGCAAAGAGCCATCTTCTGAGAAACAACAGTTGGTAGCCTGGTAGCCATGGTAGCTGCCTACGAAGTCACAGCTCCAACTCAAACTTTGCTGCGCTGCATTGAATGATTAAATTAATTACATTCAGGTCTATGCATGAAGAGAAGAATTCAAGTAGTAGCGCTGCAAAATTAGCTCAAGAGCAAGCAAGTTTTCTTTCAAAATGCATAATTTTTTGTTAAGTATGAAGAATCTACAAGAAGCATCTAATAAGTTTTGCATCTCAACAGTGAATCCCATGATTGATATGGTACAGCATAGGGGTTTATTTTGCCAACAAACAGGCAGACAGATTAAAAAAAAGATACTCAAGTACTCCAGTTCAACGTCTAGTAGTTTTCAATACCTTGTTCCTCCAAAACTGTAGCAAGAACATGAGCATTACTAGAAGTCTGAACACAAGTTGCACTTGATTCCAAGAAAGCTTGTGGTTCATTTACACAAGACTTCAGGATAACAAAGCAACCTGTCAGTTTGCTTTCTTCTCTTGTTTAACCTGCCAGCCTGTTCTACTTAAGTCCTTTTTCTACAGTTGATAATTACTATAAAATAACAGAAACCAAGGGATGCATTTACAATCTAACACACATTTTGCAGTATAAATAAACATGTATAGCCTATCTTATAAACTTACAAACAGGATAAAGAAAGTGAGGAAAATACGTTCAGCCCATAGTAAGATGACCTTTATGTTTATGTAAAAATTATGAGTTGGTGGTGAAAAGACCCCCATTCACATCTTTAATGGCACAGCGCCTTCTAGCGGCACAGTGAGCGATTAGCTACGTATAAAAACATCAAAATGTAGTCTACATATTAACCAGTTGATTATTTGCTGCAAAAAAAGCTATTGCATATCAAATCCTTCTGGCTACACATTCCTCTCCTTCCCTAGACAAAAACAAGGGAATTCAACATCAATTTGTACTTCTATGCACGCCATGGAACATAACTCCATCCTGTATCCTGCCTTTTTTGAGCAGGATTCTAGAAGACTGTACCCACAGAAAAAGAAACTTCAGTTTCCTAGAGTGGAGAAATCATTCTAAAAACAACCCTTCAAATAATGAACATAGGCTGCCATGGTTCTGCAGCAAGCTCTGAAGTCTTTATATGAAGGTTCCTTACACTGCAAATCTCATATTGCAGAACTATGGCAGAAGTCCATAGCAGAGGATGCTCAGGAGAATGCAATAGCATAAATAAATACACAGATAGGAATAGATGACCTAGTTTTGAAGGGATTAACTTTGGGTCAGCATTTCTATAGCATGTTATAAGGTGACAAGTAAGAGTATATTATGTTCTGACTATACTTACCCTCCGGATCCGTGTCTTCTAGTATCACCCAGACCTTAAACACACAATCTCTCCCAGTTGTTACCAGCATCAGAGAATCATCTTCCATTTCATCCATGTCACGGAAGCACATCGCCGTTACATGATCCTCGTGAGGCATACTTATTCTAGTATTCAGCCTAAAGCTACAAATAAAGAATCAAAGAAACTTCTAATTATGTAGCTCAAGTGGTATTGCATTTACAGATCCATCTTCTCCAATTAGTTTCACACCTCTATAGATAGATAGCATCCCAGCAGCCAAGATTATTACTTAAATGAACACCAGTCTCAGACATTCAGTCTGAAATCAGGGCAACCTTTTTCTTATTTAATTAATCACTCACACTTCTACTACTACATGCACCAGCATTATTTTGCTTTGTTTTCTCTTTAAGGTAGCTTTTAGACTAAATAAATAAGAAGTTGGGGAAGTGTATGAACCAGAGGCATATTAGCTAAAAAAAAAACAAAAACAAAAAAACCCCAAAAGTAATTATCTCATGTAACCTAAAGGGACCGATCAATTAACAATGGATTTGAGAGGGGTTGGAAAACCAAATAGATCCATTCCATCCAGTCCGCTATTTTAATATCAAATAAATACAGGAATTAAAGCCCCCCAAATAGCCTATGTAATTAATATAAGCAAATTAAATTCAGAGCAAGTATTCACAATTGCTATTCATTTTGTCTGTGGGTTGTTTCAAGTGTGTGACATACATGGTAATCCCTTCTTCAGGTCTTCTCTACAACATTATCAGTTGATTTGGAATACTTTGTCTTTTCAAGACAAATCTTGTATAGACATTTGCACAATACTTAAGATACAAACTTTGACACCCAGAGGGCCAGCTCTAATTATCATTACCTTTGGGTTTCCTCATCAAAGAACCACAGCTTCAACTGTAACTCCAGGTCAGTTTCTTCTCTCTCTTCTACTGTTGCTAACCACTTGCCTTGAGCACTAAATGCAACTCTGGCCAAGTCAGATTGGTTTAAGCCAGCTTGATGGATGTATTCTTGTTGAACAATATCCAACTGCAAAACAAAACAATGTTTTAAAGTTCAAGTGCAGATTTATGAATACCATTCACAAAACAAAGGAGAAAGGAAGCCCAGAAAGCACTGATTAGAACTGAGTGGGCTGCGGTATAAAAAAAACTTAAAAATAAAAACTTGGGAAAAGCAATACTATAGCACATAAACAACAACACTAGAAGGATATTGCAAGGGAATTTTAATTACAGATTTTTTTTTTATATTTAACTTATGAGAGGAATAGAACATTAGCAGGTGAATAAATCTTTCCAAACAAGCTTTACCTTGAAAATTCTTCTAGAATAGAAGATTCTAACAAAGAAAAAAATCTCAGGCTGGAATCCAGTCTTATAGTACAGCTAATGGCTTTTTCTTGTTTACTATATACAGTCCTTAAAGAAATTCTGATGTATAACTTGAATTTAGAAAAGGTTAGCACAGGCCTGCCCAACTTACGCTGTATAGCTGTTTGTCACTTTGGAGACAGTAGAACTGCAAGTGGCCAGGCTCTCCATTCAGGACCAAAGCTTTGGTTCTAGGATCAACCACTAGACCTGTCTTGATATCCCTGGCTGGGAATGAAAATAAGATGAAAATGACCAATGATTGGAAGTGATGCATTCTACACCATAAGCAGAAAATAAACTTCAGTGCACATACCTTTAATTAGCCCTTGAATAGTTTTGGAAAATCTCAGGTTGCTGTTTATTATTGTAATTCCTGAAAAGAAAAACATATAAGGGCTTGCAAAAAGCTTTCACAAAGTAACCACATCAATGGTGGGAAAGGGACCTTAGTTATCCCTACTTAATGCTACAGATATCTATCCCATGTATATATATCTTCTCACAGACTGTCAGACTCCTAAATCAAGATGGAAAGCCAAGCTACCAGCAGACCTCAGACAAATTCGCACAAGTAATGAAAAAGCAAAAGACTGCTTTAAACATCTATACGCAACACCTTTTAATTCATCTAAAAATAATAAAATAGAGCTCATATAGATTTGCAATAAGCAGTACTTTAAATATTGGCATACTGTTGTCTGTATGTGAGGTGCAATAGAAAGTGCCATCGGATGAAATGGAGACGTATTCAATAGCAGATCCCAAGCGAGGAAGAAAATCCTTCTTGCAGTCTGATCCACTGTGCCACTGAACTAGAACAGATTCAACTCCTCCACTCAGCAAACTGGTTCCTTTCCAGATAATAAACACACAGTTAGAGGTTTTGTTTTAAGAATATCAGCATAAATGTTACAATGACAGACACATAGATTTCTGAAAAACGTTTCTTAAACTGTCACACATAGATGAATTATTCTTCATATCTAGCCTAGGCAATACACATTTCTTGTTATCCCAAGTAAAACTGATACAGAAACTTACATAAACAACAAGAACTTCTGCCTACAGTAAAACTTAAAAAAAATGCTATGGGAACATTAAATTCCATCACTTGTTGAATCTGTTGAGTATTATGTAAGAATACAGCTCATTTGTTTTCCTTCTACAATATGTATTTTGCAGTAAGAAGTATGCTAAGAAATATATTCACATGAAAACTAAGTGGATTTTTGCCACTAGGTTTAAGCTCAGTCAAGTCTGACTTTGGATTCAGACAGACTCTGGCAAGGACTCACGAGTATCGCTGGTGAAAGAGAAGATGGTAGGTAGGGTGGAAGATATAACGAGACAGGTTAGATTTTACATTCTGTCAAAGGACAGTGTAATGCTATCACGGGATGATAATAGCAGGGTAGCAAAGTCTCTGGCTACAGAAAATGAGAATGAGCCCAAATGCAGCTGCCACAGATGCAGAAATGAACAAGAAGAGCTACTTAATTTTGGAAGGCCTCAGGTAGGCAGAGATCTCTAGGATCCTGGCTCCTCCCCTTCCATTCACTCCAATGCATTGCATGCACCTGAGCTCCCTGGGTTGGCCTTTCCTTCCCACCAGGTGCTCAATCACTGCTTCAGACTGAGCAATTTTATTACAGGCAGCTATTTGACATTATGAATGTCAAAGTATTATAAAGAAAGCACAGCTGCTCTCACATATTTCAGATCCAGCCTGGATATGCTTAGAATACTAGAAATTAGTTTGTTAGTAAGTGGATTATCTCAAACTTCTGTTAATTTCTCTGTTCCCAACTTTTTAACGATTTTTGTACTCACCTTCTACAGAAAAAGCTAGATCCAGGACTTTATCGTGATGCCAGTGCAGTGTAGAGAAGGTGTACTCTTTTTTGTGGTTGAAATTCCTCCTGTGGAGAAGGATGAGAATGGTTCTTTAAAGGCAGTCATTGACAACAGAGCAAACAAATGCAAATAGTGAATACCATCCTCTTCTCTAATCTCTTGACTACAGTTTCATGTACACACATGGTACAAAAGAAAGGAATCACACCAGCAGCTTTCCTGATACACTCTGTACATCACTACCATACTTGGCAAGCTGACAACTCTTCACCAATTTCCCTAGTGTGCTGTCACTAGGACTCCAGCCGCCTGCAAACACTTATTCAAACTGCTCTTATCTTTTCAAATACATTTTAAAATAACAGTGTAGCTTAACAGGAATATTATCCCACTTGACATTAAACTAAAGCTGTACTCTGAAGCCAACATCAGATTACAGGCCAAAGGATTTGCCATTCTTTGTTTTTTTTTTTATTTCTGAAAATCACAATGATAAGAACTGCTAACAACTGCTCTGCTCAGGTTTCACTTAATTCCCATGGTCAGGGTACAAAGGTAAATCAAAATAATCATACCAGAGACGAATCTTTCCATCAGCATGGCCAGTCGCAATACAATCCTCATGAGGATGGCAGGCTACACAAGTAAAGACATTGTTTCCACCTTTTTTATTTGTTGCTCTCAGAGAAAACCTTCAAAAGTTAGGAAAGCAGCTTCAATTATACACGTTTTTTTTCCTTTTTTAAAAACAAAGCTTCAAAAGGACCAACTGATGCACAAATGCACATAAAAATAATTCTGAATAGCAAAATGAAATGCCTCCAAGTTGTTATAAATCAACATACGTACTCAAAAAAGATAGTGACAGATTTTTTTCCTTTTTTTATTTTATTAGATTTCTGTCCTCAATCAAGCTGCAAGCCTTTTATTTGTTCCACCCTCCCTGCCTACTTTTTCTTAGCCAAACCATCACTTGTTTCAGCCCAATATCAGCTTAACTATTTACCCAAGATAAATAAATACTTGAGCTAAAAACATAAGCTACCAATACAAGTGCTGTGAATACTGACTCTTTAAGAGAAGCTTCTTATATACCGTCCATGCCCAGCTGCGCATACACCTCACCAGGTAACGTGAACATTATAAATAAATCAGATTGAAGCAATACTCGCGTAACTATCAGAAAGATCACACGATGGAAAGGTGATACAAGAAGCATAATGACAAAGGAACTAACATGATAGAAAGATGCTACAAGGGAAGGAAAAGAGAACTGCTCACCCATCACTGAAGACCCAGGCTCACAGAGGAAAACCCCACAAAGGAGAGAACTCTGAAAACAGATTCTCCTCCAGTGGCAGTCAGCCCTTAAGTGAGGTCTGAGAGGTGCAGCCAGGCTCCACCCCTTCGGGTCACACAGCTGAACTGCCTTCACCTGTGTTACCAGGGCTGACAGAGTCCTTTCCCCAGGTGCTCAATCAGTGGTTCAGGGTGTGACTCAACAGTTACCATGCAACTTGACATTTTCATTCTTACCTGTTCAATTGCTTCCGTTTAAAGAAGTAAACTTGGAGACTAACATCCTTAACTGATGCCACATATTCACCCTGTTACAATAAATCATTGTTCAAGAAGTTAGAACATACAGATTTTGTACTTATATGTGAAAGAAAAATAATAGAGAAAACCGTGTTTCACTACAAAGTACTTAAAAATGGAGATAACAGAGAAGCTGATGTTAAATCGTTTCCTGTTATAAATTGTTTTTTTTTCTTTAAAGAAAACACAGTTCTTACAGATTACAGAGTGATTTGTTTTGTCAAATGGAGCTTAAAAAGCTTGTGCAGAAATCAGAGTATGCAAATAACAGAACAGGGACAAAGAAAGGCTCATAAAGTTATTATTAAAAAAAAAAAAAGATTAATGAGTCTGAAGTTCTGCTGTACTTCTATAAAAGCATAAATGGTATATAGGTTACTTGAAAAGTAAAGAAAGAAGCCAATCCCCCAAAGGTGAATATACCTCTCTTCCAAATGCAGTACACTTTGGCGACGCATCCACACCCTCCAAAACCACAGACAATTCCTTGGCTTCCATGTCTTGGCCTGCTGCTTTGGTCAGCTTAACTGAGACCAGTTGGTACGTATCTGGCAAAAGGAAAATCTGTTATCCAAAGACTTCTACAAACAAGTTTATGCACGTTCACTGTAAAGGAGATTTGCAACCATTCTACTGTAACACATTAGTACATTCCATATTTTTGAACAGAATACTTTTTCAAAAAATAACTGTTTTGGATATTCTAATTCAAACAACAGTATTGAAGTTCAAGGTCAAGATAGTGGATTCTGGTGCAGCTGTGAGTAGGAAGCAAGAAGCACTGCATAACACACTCTGAAGTGACATTGGCAGAAACAGAGTCAGGCCAAGGTACAGGAAAAAACTATCCACACATGCTGTTAAATTGAGAGAGGAGTCTCAAATACTGTGTGTACGTAATGGCACAGTAAGGACTGCGTAAAGATTTGTCACATCTCCAACATCACATATGTGCGCTCTGCGCTTCAGAAGTGAGGATAAGCACTTTTCTAGGCAGGTACAGAATGCAGGTCCCACAGAACAAAACCAAAACAGCATACACAGAATACAGAACCGCAGCTGTTGTATCGTTATATCAAGACTGATACACGAGAGCAGCTGGCAGCGTAGCGCTCAGCCAGTGCCACAGCTCAGACTGATGGTAAGACTGTGAGGATGAGACAAAGCCCACCGTACCTCTCGCACCCCGCTTCGGGATGATAACAAACACAGAGTCCTCGGAAGCAGGCAGCGCATACAGCGCCAGAAGCTGATGTCCTACGGTGAACGTCTGCGGCACAAACACAAGTCCAACAGTTACCACACGAGAGCACGTCATTTTCTACAGACCAAGAATAACGCTGATATTCACTCAACGGGAACAGCTCTACATACTTTAATGAGAATCCCATCTGTGAAGTCCCACAGCTTAATGGTGCCATCAAGGGAGGAAGAATAGAGCTGAAAAAAAAAAAAAAACAAGCAAACAACCAATAAACAAAAGACAACTTACGGCAATACACCAAAATCAGATTTTACATAAAATCCCCGCTCCGTGCCGAAGCACCGATCAACGGCACTGAACCACCGCAAACAGAGGACGCGAAAAGCTCCAAGCCGCCATCGCAAACCATTCCGGCCGCACAGACACCCGCACGGCCCCGCCGCCGGCCCGGCCCACCTGCAGGTGGTTGTGCGGGGCGAGCTGCACGCCCGTCACCAGGTCGCCGTGGCCCCGCAGCAGCCGCACCAGCTCCTCGGTGGCCACGCTGTACATCTTCACGAAGTCGCCGGAGGCGCACAGCAGAAACCTGCGAGAGGAAAGCCGTCAGCGTCCCGCGGGATCGCTCGGACCCGGAGCCCCGGCCCACCGCCGCCCCGCTTGCCTGGCGCCGACGGAGAAGACGGCCCGGGCGCCGTGCAGAGCGCCGCCGCCGCATCGCACCACGCGGAGGGCCGCCGGCGCCACCATCTTCCTCGAGCGGAACCGCCCGGCCGCCCTTCCGCCGCGGAGCTCCGCCCGCTGCACGCACGGCGCTGCTGAGCGTGTGGCGCCGCCGCGCGCGCGGCGACCGTTAACGGTTCCTCTGTGTGAAGGGGGCCGGGCGGGCTTGGCGGCCCCAACAGCCCCGCGCAAGAGCCGCGTCCGCGCTGAGAGACGAGGCGAGCGGGGCTCGCAACTGATGTACGGCCGTGCGGGATGCCGCCGTTGCAGATCTCTGGTAGTTTAGTCGGTTGTTAAACGGCCCGAGGTAAAATAACGCGTGCGCCAGAACTGGAACGCGGGAAGTTCCACACCGACACGAAGAGGGACAGGTGTTGGAGCTCAGGAACAGGCTGCGCTCTACCCTCTCTGGAGATATGCAGGCCACCTGCGAGCTGCTGCAGCCGGGGGTGTGCGGGTGATCCCGGAGCTTCCTTCTGACTCCTACTCTGCTGTGATTCCGGCACGTTTTTATTATTAAACGTGTGCTACAGCAATCTAACCCCCACTTTATGAAGTTAGTCGTCGGCTCCAAAGATCTCGAGTAATAGACTACACAGCGCTCCCAAAACCTGTTAAGCTGAGGTGATAAATAGCAGGCAGTGGCACAACCAGGTCAGTACAGCCCTGTATGTGTGCCACATTACTTCACAGTTAGCATGGCGACACAACAACCTGCCTATCAGAACTACCACTTGCTGTGGAAAGGATGTGAAGAGTGACAGTGTTACCTTCTGCACAGTGAGGGGTGACCAACATGTACTAGTGCAGTTGGGGCAGCCCTGCACTGAGAGCACGGACTGCACCCTAGCAGCCCATGCTCTGTACCAGTGGCTCAGTGCTGCTGCCATTCCTCCTATCCCATGCTTTGGGTTTTTTTTTTGTGTTTTTT